CCAGCCTGGGCTACAAAATGAGCTCAAGGCCAGCCTGAATTGCATAGTGAGACCCTGTCTCAAAAAGAAAGAAAGAAGTCAGGCTTTTCTAGTGGCTCTCTTAAATCTGAGAGAAGGAAGTACCCCCAGAAATAACATTGGCCTCAGTTCTTGCCAGATGGTAAGACTGCTTGTGTAATGAGAGAAGATAAGTTTGTGGCAGAGTAAATAGTGCCTCACACTGTAGCTACTTGAGTGTTTCTGGCCTGATATCCCCATTTGGACTATTCTGTTAGCTGTTTTTTTTTTTGTGGGACCAGGGATTGAACTCAGGACCCTGCACGCTTATTCTACTGAGCTGTCAACCCAGCCCCTCTGTTAGCTCTTAAAGACCTATACACTTTTTCTTCTACATAAGATATGTCCCACTCATTTTATATTATTAAATGGATTTTCATTGACACAAAGGCTGGGGTTTTTTTTTTTTTTTTTTAACTTTAAAGACAATATTTGATCAGATCTAACAAGGATGAACTTCTTTTGGAAAGTTTTTCTTCAATGAGCATTGTATTTAAGACATTGAGCTTATGGGGATTATGGCAGGGGTAATATTAGACCTATTTGTGATTATAAAACTACAGGACCACATGAACCAAAGGATTAAGAGGGATAAACTTTCTGAAGTGGGTAGTATCTTTTTGTTTGTATATTTTGGAGGTCAGAAAAGCCACTGTTATTATTCTACATGATTATATTTATTATTTATTTATTTATTTTGTATTTTAGGAAAGGGTCTATGGAGTGTTCAGGGTTTCACTACTAGATTGGACTTGTAGTGATTCTCCTGTTTACAGCCTCCCAAGTGCTGGGATAACAGGCATGACCACCATGCCCAGTCTCAATTGCCCATCTCAAATTGCTGTCTCAGCATGTCCTAGGGGCGGCAGGGCGTGGTGGTGGTGGTGGCAGCAGGCAGGCCCTAGGATCAAACCCCGGCCCCGGCCCTGCTTGCAGGTACTTTAATCCACTGAGCTATTTGGTCAGCCCTCTCTACATGACTATAAGCTTAGAAAAAAATCACTTGATTCACTTGATGTTACAGTTACAAGGTGACTGTCATAATATATGCCTGAGAAATATAAATACTAAACCATAAAATGTTTTCAAAGCATTTGTAGTTGTATAAAGACATAGTGGAGAGTCCTTTTTTATGAAATGAACCCTGTAAGTTGATGGCTGGGAATAAAGAAATAGTAAAGCTTTTTTTCCCTTTTCATTTAAAGATTACTTGCAAGAGGTTTGTATAGGTGTCTGAAGGGACAACAGAGGTGGTGTAGTTCGTACAGTTGGTGAAGAAGTATGAGGGAAGTGTAAGGATGTCCAGGCTGGTTTCTTCGATTGCAGTCACCAGACAGCAGTTCTTACCTGTTTTTACTTTGAATCTACATGAAGGGTTTAGTTGTGCATTTCTTAAGGTCTTTGTGCTCTGGGGTAGACTGGAAACTGTCTGTGAGTCTCTTTGTAGTTCCCACATACTGGAAGAATTGGTAATAGGAGAGGAACATTTCTCTACATTTGAGATCTTAAGGAGTCAGAGAGACCAGAGCTTTAAGCTGTCAGTTCTGTACTTCTCTTTTTAGGTCTAGCTTTTCTATCATTGAAGGGATATGGATCTTCCAAGGGAGAAAACCTGCTTTGTTTCAAGATAGCTGTGACATTTGGCCCCTAAAATGTCTGTCCTTGGGGAGGGATTTGGTTGTTAAACTGGAAAGTGGGGGAGGGACTCCCTTCTTGGCCTCATTTACAGATATGGGGATGCTTCCATTGCTTCATGTGCTGTTGGCATTTCTTTTGCTTTCCCTAAGCTAAGCTCTAAACTAATTCTGTACAAAAGAAGTGTTGATTGCCTTTATAAATTGCTTGCCATTAGTGCCTGATAATATGCAGTAAGATAGGATTCTGCATATATTAAGTATGTCAAATATTACAAACTTTAAGGTTTTCTTTGAAATTATAATACTAAACTCAGTTCACTTTTGCTTAGCCTTCACAGTTGTTGATCACATAGCATGGTCATCCACTCACAGCTTAAAAAAATACAGGGAGCATCGGAGAGAATGGGTAAAGTAAAATTTTGATGTTTTTAAAATAGCATCTAAATCTATGAAAGTTAATTTGGTTTATTGTTTGTATGGGTGGGAGAGGGTGGGTGGTAATAGGGAGGGGGTGGATGTCTGGAAAATAGCATGCACCTTGTACAGTGTGAGATAACCATCTAGGTTAAGGTTTCAAGTGTTAACTCCTAAAATTTAAGTCAGTTTCTGAAAAGGCAGGACCATAAAAGGCAATATTACTACATGTAATGGAGTTATTTTTCTCTCCCGAGCGATTGAAGGGGATTTTGAGAAAAGTGGTATTGAGTAGTAGTTTGGATAGGAGCCCTCTTTTATATTGGCCTGTTTGTAGTCCCCAACTGAAGCTGTCTGACTCAGTATCACTTCAGGCTCTATTATGTTGGCTAAAGACTTATATAGAAATACTAGCAAGGCCAGTTTTTATTGTATATACCTCAAGTGTTCTCAAGATAAAGGTTATAATTCATAATATCCATAAAGGGTAGAACAAAAGAGGGAGACAAGAGAGTTGTAACTTTGAGGATAGTTTCTTGGAGAAGAAATATTAATAGATTAATAGACTTTTTGGTGCTTCTTTTCAAATGCTCTTTGTTTGCCAAAGTTTTAAATCAAATTTCTAATTCTAAAAAACTTGGCCTTGTAGTATCTGCAAAGCCTAATTATTGTGGAGGCAATAGGACAGAGTCTACCATGTTTATGTAGGTAGGAAAATTTTTTTTGTTGTTGACTTGAATAATTTGACCCCATTTCTGCTGCATTAGAACATTTTTAAAGGTTTTTGTCTATATACCAAAAATCTGGATTAAAAAATGAAGACATTAAATTGTACCCCTGAGGGGCGAGGAGATAGCTCAGTAGACTAAGTGCTTGCCTGGCAAGCGTAAGGGCCTGAGTTCAATCCCTGTTCCCCCCCCCCAAAAAAAAAAAAAAAAATTTACCCCTGCAATATATTCTGGTCTCAATTTTGCTGTTCCCTTACATACAGTCATTTGCCAAATCCAAATGTGATTTACTTATTGTTCTCAAACCTTCTTGCCTATCAGGTTTGTCAGAGATATTACTTCTGTGTGGAAAATAGTCTTCTGTTTTCCTTTGTTCTGAGTACTATCTATCTTTCAAATTTTGGCTTTTACTGATTACATGAAGCCCTTCCCAACCTCTCCGGTTATTGATGGTCATGCTGGTCTTAAAATTACTTTAAGTACTATCTGTTTAAAACACCCATTTCAGGGGGCTGGGGAGATGGCTTAGTAGAATAAGCGCTACCCTGGCAAGCGCAAGGACCTGAGTTCAATCCCCTGTTCTGCCAAACGAAACAAAAACCCCACCTATTTCACACTAATGGTTAAGTAAGTTCTCTGTTTCTCTACCAAAGTGGGGACTTCTCGAAGGCTAGAGCAGTGCTTGTCTTCTGCTCTCCATTGCCTGGCACAGAGAATAGAATCACAGAAAGGTTGGATTCTGTGATTTGGAGCCAATGTCAGTGTGACAGGGCAAGCTTTTCCTCCCGTAGGTTGTCTTTTTTTAGCTGCTCTGTGAGAAGTTTTTGAAGGTAGTGGCTCACACAATTGAAGTGATTTTTTTATGTGACTATGTGGCCCCCTCCCATGAAATGTGTTGAGTTGTTAAGGTGTTTCCTTTTGTTATAAGCAGCTTTCTTTCGTATTTGTTCCATTTGTAGGTTTTTATTTTTTGGGGGGGATGCTATTTTAGCTAGTTTCTTTTGAAAAACATGGTTTGGGCCAGATATTTTGACAGATACTAAAATTACCAATATTTTTATTTTGAAATTCTGTGTTAGTTTAACCAAATTATACTTCTATGGCATAAACCTATATGCATTTATTCAATACTGCATTGTAGACACATTGTATTAAAATGTAACTTTTAAGTTTTTAAAATAGAATTAATAATCCCAGTGAACAGATCATCACTTGCTAAGTCCCTTACTTAGTATTTTTGAATTTGAATTATTAGGTTTATTGTTTCATTGTTTAAGGATTTCTGTAAGGATTGATACTTAATGGCCCTTTTATTGTTTGCTACAGTTATCAGATGTTTATGGAGCAGCCATTCAGTTTGTAGTGAGGAGTTAGTTTTAAATGCCTTTTGATTTATGGACTTGTTTTTCTTTTTAAAAAGTTCATCATGGCTACTCTTTGCTATATTCATATTTGCAGTTGTTCATATTTTAGCAGAGTGTCTTCAGGGCACATATACCTTAGTATTAGATTTAACATAATTTCTTAGGCAGAAAGTCACCCTACTAGAGGAAATGTTTGATTTTTAAACCTTTCCGAATCTTCATTTTATTCTAAGGCTTTATACCTTATTCTAAGCTTATACTTTTGAGTCATAATTCTTACCAAGCACTGTGTATTGTCAAAGAACTTACATACCTGTAGCAAGGGGATTCCTGGACATGCAAGTTTTTTCCCCCCCAAATTAAAGTTTTTTTCACATTTAAAGTCCTTAATGTAATTAGGGTACAGATTTAAAACAAAAAGATTTTTTTTTTCCTTAACTGATAAGAAACAGAAAGCCTCTACTAGATAGCTTAGGCATTCTGGTGTGAACTTACCACAGTGCCATCCTAGCATGAAGTTGAGGTACTTAATAGTCTTGATAAATATACTTTTTAAAAAACTTAAAGAAAAAAACACTTTAGCTGGCCTTGGACTTTTACTTGTTGTTAGGTATCTTTTCTAGGGTTACACTTGTTAAATCAGTATTATAAAAGAATTAATACACTTTGATTTTGTTCACTTTTGTTTTCATATACAAGAATCTTCAGTCAACATGTACTTCTAGATGCTGTATTGAAATTGCTGGCAGAGTCTATTCTATACAAACTGAACAATCTGGCCCCTTGTTTTATTTGTAAAGGTTCAATGTATCTATGCCTGCCTACTTCAATCTGCAAGGGAGTGTCAGAAAGGCCCCGCATTCGCCGAGCCGTGAGTTATCACTAACTTTTCAGATGTGTTAATGAATGTGGAACAAAAGCAGTTGTGTTTAAAAGGAAAAAGGGACCATCAAAATAACCTTTATTATAGTAGCAGGCGTGAACACTAAATGGATTATTCCAAATTGTGTCAAAAATAACCTACTAGAGACTAGCTTCTAGAAAACCTATTGTTGAACTGCTCTGAAGCTATCGTTTTAGCTATACATTTTTGTTTTTAATGTGTATACCCTGTAGAAAATTCTTTAACTATTTTTAACCAAGTTAAAATAATTTGAAAAATTATACCCCATAGTGTTTTCATCGAATTTAAGCTCTTCAATATAACAGTATTTGAAAGGTTAAATTTTAGCCTTGTTATCTGTGAAAACATAAATGAATCTGAATGATTGACTTCCTAGATGAAAGTTTTTGGAGTGTTCCAGGCGTTGTCAGCTGTAGAGTATTTATGATCTCTTGGTACCAATAGTTTTTGCTTCAGTAATTCACCAGTAGGTTTTCATTCATTAATGATGATACCAATTTAAGGCTAAAATAAAACACTGTTTTTTTAGGGCTTATCATTTTATATAGAAAGAGGAAACATCCTTATGAATCCCCCCCCCAGAGATTCTAAGCAAAATATAGATGTGTTTTGTTATCAGAGCTAGTTACCTTTCTTTTTCTTAGATTCTTTAAAATTTTGAGTAGATACCATATTTGATAAGCAGGTTGGATGCTTCTGTTGCTTAGGTGTTTTGTTTTATATGAAGACAGAATAAATGTAAATGTACCCAGTTTGGCAGTATATAGCACAGACCACATAAAACTTGGAGCTGTGGACCCTTTGGAGGCATTAGAAAGTTAACATTTCATTTAGGCAATGTGCCTTTGTTTGACTGGTGTGTAAGTCCTTCTTCCAGGTTTGTACGCTCTTAAATGCGTTATTCTACCCTCTCTAACTCCTCCCAGCAGCAAAAGGGAGACACTTCAGCTGGAACAAAATAGTGGAAGAAATGGCGTCTGGGGTTCAGTGGGGATTCGCAGTGTGTATGCAATGTTTGCAAGATTACTTTTTATGTTTTTCAATTAATGTAAATAATTACAAAATAAATCAATGCTTACTGTCAAGAAGGGAACAGTGTATTCCAGTAGAAATTCTCTTAGTGGGTCTGCTGCAATCGCTTAACCTCTTGGGGCCTCAGTTTTTCTCATCTGCAATATGAAGGAGTTGGACTTGATAAACTTTAAAGTCCATTCCTGCTCTAAAATCCTATGCTTTCCTGAAGTATTCTATTTAACAGAATGCATTGCTTTCCCACTTTGTTTGAATTACATGTGCAGTACACATACTGCAACTGCATGTTGTATAAAGTAGTCTTTCTATAGGATATTATAAAAAAGCTAATCCCTCTTGACCTGATTTATAAATGTGTGTGTATATAGCCACACATAAAAAGCTAGTGATACTGGGACTCTCAGAAAATAAGTGTTTTCCAGTTGTCTAACCTTGTATGCTATTAACTTTTCTATATTACAGGAGATACTACTCGTCAACGAATCAAATTCAGTGATGACAGAGTATGCAAGAGCCACCTTCTCAACTGTTGCCCCCATGATGTCCTTTCTGGAACTGTACGTGTTAATTAAATCTATTTGATTACTGGTATACTAGATAAACTGTACAAAGGCTTATATTTTTATCAAATTATTAAGCAGTATTGTACCTAGAGGATTGATTTGTATCCCTTACATTTGTTTATTTAGATTAATGATTTAAATCTATAGTAATAGATTTCTTCACAGAATTAAAAAAAATTTTTTTTTCCATGCTTCAGAACAGTTCTTTTTTAAGAGCACTTTGTTATACAGTGGTAGTTAAGATATTACATAGCTTTACACTTTTAGTTTAGAATTTATTTTTAAACTTTACTGCTAAATGGAGTTTTACCCAAAATAGTATGCAATTTTATTAAGATGTATGTACATTTATATTGTGGAACCAATGAGAAAAATACTTTAGTAAATACTGAAACCTTTACAGTTTAATTTGAAAGTAGTATTGTCACATATAAGATGGTCTTGCTAGCTCCTTATACCATCAGTCTCAAAATGTTACTAATTGTTTTTTTTTTTTTTTTTAATTTTATTCGCGCGCGCGTGCGCGTGTGTGTGTAGCCAGCTCAGCCCACCAGGGGGCTAGACTTCTCCAGCAGGTCTTGTTCTTTTTTGTGTATATGCACCTCCTCCCCCACCCCTTTTTTTTGATACAGGGTCTCACTGTGCAGTTCAGGCTGGCCTTCAGCTCACTTTATGGCCCACGCTGGCCACAACTTGCAGTAATTCTCTTGCCTCAGCCTCTCTGGAGTCCTGGTATTGAGGTGTATGCCACCATGGCTGGCTAGAAAAATACTGTTGGGTAGCATTTTTCTTAAGGCACAGAACATAGGATGAGGCTTAAAAATGATAGTGTCCTGAAATTATTTGATAAACAGGTACGGTAAGGTCTTACAAAGGTACTTCCAGAGGAGACTCTAGGAAACAAATCTCTCTTGGCAGCCTAATATGTAGAATTGTAGATTTGAGGATGGGTCAGAGTAGTTGTGATTCTCTTTGAGAATATAAAGTTTTGAGGACTAGGATCTTTTTTATGAGAGTTTAGAATTATATCAGAGTGGTATCCTTCAGAACCTGAAAGTCACTACATGCACTATGGCTGCTTGTATTCTAAAGTCTTAAAAAGGGTTGCTATTAGCAGGTCATTTTAGGTATAAATGGCTTATAATTAATTGTAGAGCTGTTACATCTTTAGTATCTGCTACCTGTAGAACAAGTCCTTTTCTGGGTCACAGTTGAATAGTTAACACCTTTTTTTGTTGAAGATATCTTTTGTTTATTTTTTGTTTTTTTGAGACGGGCTCACTGTGTAATTCAGACTGGTTTTGAACTTACTATATAGTTTAGGTTGACCTCAGACTCACAGTGGTGATCCTCCTGCCTCAGTCTCTAGAGTGCTGGGATTTTTGGGTAGAGCTGGGATTACAGGTGTGTGCCACTTTGCCTGGCTTTCTTTCTTATGTTAGATGAAGAAGGAAAATAACTGAATTGTAAGTTGTGTAACTGAACTAGAGGATGCTCATTAGCTTTCCTGACCTTATTCCTTACATTTGTTACTTCCGGGAGATTATAAGTTTGCCAATATTCAAGATTATTTAGCAAAAGAATACATAGAGGTGTGTTTCTTGACTTTTTTCATTATTAAGAGGTTGGACTTTATATCAAACACTTGTGTGATTTTAAAAAATTGTGCACATCACTGACAATTTGTATCAAATTTTTTGGAATTAAGTTTCATGAAGGTGCTTCTGTAACATACTACTTCTCTTTAGTTTTATTTATTTTATTTATTTTTTAAAATATATTTAGTACAGGGTCTCTACACAGATTGGACTCATAGTGATCCTCCTGTTTTCAGCCTCCAAAGTGCTGGGATTACAGGCATGTACCACCATGCCCCCAGTCTCAATCACCTCTCAGTGCTCCTGAGGGTGGGGCCAGCACTGGGGATCACCCTGTCTCTGCATCTGCCTAAGTAGGTGCTTTAATCTGCTGAGCTATCTGGCCGGCCTTCTTTAGATTTTATAACTAATTCTTGCTTTGCTTTGCTTACTTGCTTGCTTTTTTCTTTTTCTTTTTCTTTTTTTTTTTGTGGAACCAGTGATTGAACTCAGGCCCTTGTGCTTGCCAGCCACTGAGCCATCTCCCTGGCCCGCTTTATCTGTCTATCTGTCTGTCTGTCTGTCTGTCTGTCTGTCTGTCTGTGTGTGTTTCTCTTTGTCTCTGTCTCTCTCTTTCTCCCTCTCTCTTTTTCTCTTTCTATTTGGTACAGGATCTCACTATGCAGCTCGTACTCATGGTGAGCTTCTTGTTTTCAGCCTTCCGAGTGCTGGAATTACAGGCATATACTGGGTCTCAGCGGGCTCAGTGTGCCCGGGGGTGGGGCTGGCATAGCATGTGGTACTAAGGATCAAACCTTCGTCCCTGCACTTGCCTAAGCAGGTACTTAGTCTGCTGAGCTATCTTACCACCAGCCCTTTGAAACTATAAACTAGTAAGTTAATCAGGGAGGTATAAAACATAGAACAGAGAAAACAGCCTTTGAGTTATAACTTTTTAGTATCTTTTTTTAATTTGTTTTCTTTTGCAATACTGGAGATTGAACCTAGTGACCTGTACATTTTACTATGAAAGCATTGTACCACTGAGCTGAAGCCCCAACTTTCTTTTGGTCCTTTTTTAGACCGAGTCTTACTATGTAGTTCAGGCTGGCTTTGAGCTCACTTTGTAGCCCAGGCTGGTCTCAAACTCAGAAGGATCCTATTGCCTTAACCTCCCAAGTGCTGGGATTACAGGTGTGTACCACCATGCCTGACTAGCCCCAACTCTTTTAATTTTATGTTGAGACAGTTTCAATAAGTTGCCCAGGCTGGCCTTATATTTGGAATCCTGCTTCAGCTTCCCTAGTAACAAGGACTAGAGGTTTGTATTGTACCACCAACCCAAGCTATTTTCTGTTAGAAATGATCAGATGTGGTAGGGTTCGTTGTAAGAAATTCTGAATTGGTTTTATGGTGCCCTAGTAGGTTCTGGATTTTATTCAAAGAATAGTTTTTATTTACTGAAGCTTCCTTTATTGGTTCTTTGACTTCTTGTAAGGCGTGGTATTATATGCCAGTATTATATGCCAAGCATCTAGAACAGCATCATTCCTCCTCCTTCCCCTCTTCTCCTACTCCCCTTCCTCTCTTTCTTCCCCCTCCTCTCCCTCCTCTCCCTCCTTTCCCTCCTTTCCCTTCTTCCCCTGTTTTTGAGATAGGGTCTCACTATGTAGTTAGGGCTGGCCTTGACCTCATTATGTAGCCTAGCAGCGATCCTCTGGCCTCAAGATTCCTGAATGCTGGGAATACAGGTGTTATGTATACCATGTCTGCTTCTTTTCATCTTATTGAATAAGTAATTGATCCACCTAAAAGTAGAATGTTAGGTATATAAATACATCTGTTTTAAAAAGCAACTTTTAAGTTTCTGAAATTAAGTTACTACTGATAAAAGTGTTGGAGTGATGAAATTTTAGTAAGATTGGAATTAAAGGGCCAGCCAGATAGCTCAGCAGGTAAAGCGCCTGCTTAAGCAGATGCAAGGACTTTGATCCCAACATGCCGTGCCAGCCCTGCCCAGGGATGCACTGAGAGGACTGGGCATGGTGTTGTGTGCCTGTAATCCCAGTGCTTGGGAGGCTGAAAACGGGTATCACTACTTGTCAGATCCATGTAAACCCTGTAGACTCTGTACTATAAAACTAAATATATAAAAAAGAAAAAAAGAAATTGGAATTAAGGGAATTAAGCAGAGGAAGAAGTAGATTAGTGAGAAGGATCAGGTTAATGAAGATAAGTTTACAGTGTTTTTAGATAAGTTGTTTCTGAAGTCATCAAGTAAATTGAGTTAAGTAAAAGAAAGTAATTTTATTTTATTTTTTTTTATAACTTAATTTATTTAGTGTGTGTGTGGCCAGTTCAGCCCACCGGGGGCGGGGCTGGCTGGCATGTGGTGCTGGGGATTGAACTGCGGTCTCTGCTTTTGCTTAGCTTAGCTTGTTCTAAGGAGGTGCTTTAGACCACTGAGCCATCTCACCAGCCCCAAGAAAGTAATTTTAAATGTGAAAGTTAACTTTCTTTTTTTCTTTCTTTCTCTTTCTCTCTCTTTCTCTCTTCTTTTAATACTGGGAATTACTCAGGACCTTATGCTTGCTGGGAAGGCACTTGTGCTGCTGAACTACATCCCTGACAAAACTTTCAAGAAGTGATTTATCTGAATTACTTAGTGAGAACTTGTCTCAAATGAAGAAAATAGCTACAGGTATAACTCAGTGCAAAATGGCCCTATGTTCAGTGCTTAGTACTGCAAACAAAAAAGGTTTGTTTGGTTTTTCAAACTCGAGAGTGGTGCTGGTCAATTCATTTCCTTAAATACTTGGTTTATATCTGCTATGTGCCATGTATTGTGTTGAGTGGTGAAGATACTGAAGTGAGCATGGTTTCTGGTGTGCTGGTAGGAACTGACAGTGATGCAGGAGGGGTACCACTCAGTTTGGAAGGGTGTGACTTCAGTTGGCGAGAAATGTTATGCAGGACAGCTTGGTTATGAGTTTAGTACCTGACATCTGGTAGGGCAGGGCAGGGCAGGGCCATGACTAGGGGCTACTCTAGGAAGTTGGTTGGAAGAAATTTTTTTCAGTGAAGTTACATTCAAAGACATTTGCATGTTGAGAAGAAGCTAGTCCTTTTTAAACATTAGGAGGCTGAAAAAAATTGGGAGGCTGAAAATTTTTATATTTATACATGTGACAAGATTTTATGACAATGCAGGGGAGACAGCTCAGTGATAGAAGCACTTGCCTGGTAATTGCAAGATCCTGAGTTCCATCCCTGGCGCCAAAAAAAAAAAGGGCCGGGAGATGCCTCAGTAGAATAAGTGCTTGCCTGGCAAGCAGAAGGGCCTGAGTTCAATCCCTGGTTCTGCCAAAAAAAAAAAAAAAAA